AAAAGGGAGGTAACTTGTTTTATATCTTTATAGGGGCCCAATTAAGTTTTACGACTTGTTTTTCTTTTCTCTCCAGGTCATATTGACCTTACACTGTTTTCTCTTAATTAGCTCGAATCATTTTCTCAGTTTATCACAAGGTGGAACTTCCTGTGCATCAGTTTCTGCCTGTTGTCTATTGTCCTACTGAATACCCCTTGATTTCATTGATTTCAACAGATACCTTGACCTGGCTGAGCTTTTTAAAATCATAAGCAAGAATGAAGGATTGAAATGAAAAAAAAATCTGCATGAAGTGCTTTGTGTTCTGGAAGATTCAAGAGAATCTGTGTATGTACCCCAGGGGCCCTGTATTAACTGAGTTAATGCTCTGTCTTCAAAGCCCTCCAATTTCATAAAACCCACGTAACTTGTTCTGTTCATTCCTACCTCAAACAAATGGGCTGCATAAACCTGCCAGATGCAGATTCTCATAAATTTCATCTTTTCAAAAATCAATTTCAATCTTATAAACAGACTACTGCTTAAAACATTAAAATATTAAAGCTGCTAAACCTAATTTTTAAAGTTCTTCTTACAATGATTGAATATTGAGACCAATAGAAATATACTGTTGGACACAAAAACATGATATGGTAAAGGACTACTATTTCCCTAAAATGCCCTAAAATTGCAACAGTCTCTGATTTTCCACATGGCTGTCAGTTCCAATTGACATGGGTGGGTACCCAGGATGTGGGAACGTGCTGGAGCCAAGATCCTTTAGGCATTGTTTTGCGTAGAAACAGGGCATCACCCGGAGGTGTTTCATGGGGGTGTGGTGAGGTAAAAAATTCTCTTTGCACACTCAGACATCATTAATGTTCTCATAAAACTGTTGCCTTGTTCCAACAGGGCAGAAATCTGCTGCCTGTTATGGTGCTGGATGAGTGGCATCTTGGCCACTGAGAAGCAACAGCACCTACTGGAAGGGTGAAAAGCAGTGATGGTCTGAATTGGACTCCATCAGATTGATGTTACTGGCTCAGGGTTCAGCTGCAGGAAAGCAGTTGGTGATCTAACTGCTGTTGCATCAGTCAAGAAATCAGTTCAAGATCTCTGATACTTCCTTGGATTGCTACTAGTTCCCTACTTGTTACGGACAGTAAGATGTTGGAAGTATTATATCTATAAGCATTAAAGATGCAAATGAATTATGATGAAAATTGTAAAAAAGCATACTAGACTGCCTAGAGGCAGTTACAGAGACACAACATATTTCAGAACAAGTTCTTTAATACTCATGGGGGTTGTTTGCCTGGCAGAACAACACCTTTTTTTCTGTGTCAGCGTTTGTCTTTTTTTACTGATGACTAAACTGTCATAACACATTCATGACTGTATCACTCATGAAAAATTGTCACCAGCAATAAAATGTTCTCTAGTATTTCCAGCCATGAGTCACAGTTCAGAAAATCACTGTCATGTGCAGTGCATTGAGTTACCTCTGTGCAGCTGGTGCTCAATACAGTGGCTTTACCCAAATTCACATGCAGACACAAAAGAGAATTTGGACTCGTACTTTCTCCAGGCAAAAGTAACACAAGGAGATTGTTTTCTCAATGATAATATATATATTAGATGCCCATATAGGGTAAAAATGCTCATAGTCCTAATTATAGACACAATAAGATATTCCTGTAGAAAGTATCTTTTTGAAATGCAATTGAGGTAGATATTGAGTCCACAGATTGATCTACATCAAAATGGTTTAAGTTGGTGCAGATCACACGCTTGATCATAAAATCATAACCTGGGGGTTGAAAGGGGTCTCCAAAGTCCTCCAGTCCAACTTGCTGTTCAAAACAGTTCTAATTAAATCTGGTTGCTCAGAACAATGTCCATTTGACTCCTGGACAACTCCGGGGATAGAGACTCTTAAGAAACTTGTTCTGATATTCAACCACCATCATGGTATTAAAAAAAAATTGCTGACATCCAATTGGATTTTCACAAGTTCCAGCTTATCGCTGAGTGCCTCTGAGAAAAGTCTATCTCTGTCTTCCCTGTATCCTACAATTTTGTAGTTATAGGCAACAATAAGGTCTCAGCTGCCTTTTTTTCAGGCTGAAGAGGCCCAGTTCTCTCAGCCTCTCTGTGTACATCACCTTCTCCACATCCCGACCATCTTTCTTGCCCCCTACTAGAATTGCTGTAGTATGTCAATATCTTTCTTTTACCAAAAAAACCCAAAACTGGACACAGCACTGCAGATGTGGCCTTCCAGGTGCCAAATAGAGGGGGAAAAGCACTCCTAGGACCTGCTGGCTACTCTCTATTACTAACACAGCCCAGGATGCTGTTGCGTGCTTCTGCTGCAAGGGCACAGTGGTGGTTCATATTCAGCTTCTCCAGCAAAATCTCTGGATCCTTTCTGTGGAGCCCCTTCCTAGACAGCCATCCTTCAGCTTGTCCTCTTGCCTGGAGTTACTCTGTGCCAAATGCAGGACTTCACTTACTCTTGTTGGACTCCAAAAAATTCTCATCATCTGCTTTCTGACTGCTCCTCCCCATTTGGCATCATCCACAAACTTGGTGAGAGCGAAAGGTTTGTTTTTTTTCTTGGTGATGCTGCTTCATGTGCTGTCATGGGTTGGTCTGTGCTGTGCCCTCTGCATCACAGAACCACTGAAAGGATTTGGTTGGAAAGGACCTTTAACAATCACTTAGTCCAAACCCCCTGCTGTGGGCAGGGACACCTTCTAGTAGATTAAGTTGGTCAAAGCTTCATTGAGCCTGGCCTTGAACCCTTTTAGTGGCAGGATATCCATAGCTTCTCTGGGAAACCTGTTCCAGTGCCTCACCACCTGTGCTGTAAAAAGTTTGCTCCTTATGTCCAATCCAAATCCACCCTCTCTTAGTGTAACGCCATTGCCCCTTGTCCTGACACTACAGGCCTTGGTAAAAAGTTTCTCTCTGTCTTTCTTACATGCCCCTTGTATATATTCGGAGACTACTATAATGTGTTCCTGGAGCCTTCTCTTTTCCAGGCTGAAAAAGTTCCACCTGAATATGAGGAAGAATTTTGCTGCGTGAGTAACCATGCACTGAAATAGATTGCCCAAAGAGGTTGTGGAGTCTCCCTCACTGGAGATATTCAAGAACTACCTGGACACAATCCTGTGCCATGTGCTCTAGGATGACCTTGCTTGAGCAGGGAGGTTGGACCAGATGACCCGCTGTGGTGCCTTCTAACCTGACCCATTCTGATTCAGTGAAAACCCCAACTCTTTCATCCTGTCTTCTGACAGGAGAGGTGTTGGCATCCGTCCTTACAGACCGGCTCAACACGTCCTGCCTGTCTCGTGCTGGATGCAGTGCTCCAGCTGGGGTCCCGCTAGAGCGGAGTCGAGTGGGGCAATCTCTACCCCGGACCTGCCGGCCACACTGCTTTCTGTGCAGCCCGGCTGCGGAGAACCGCCACGTCTGGAGAGCGAGGGAGCAGCCCCGGGCGGCTGTCGCCGGCCGCGGGGCCCGTTGCGCAGGCCAGGCGACCCCCGGTGCCGCCGCGGGCCCGCCGCGCTCCGCGGCCAGCGAGGGCTGTCCCGCCCGGCCACCCGTCGGCGGCGCCGCTGCCCTGGTGACGGGCCGCGCCGGGCGCGGCGGGAGGCGGAGGGGCCCGGCCGGGCGGGGCTCTCCGGCTCCCCGCGGGAGGGTCCTCCGCCCCGGGCCCTGTGAACCTCGGCCCCCGCGGGCAGGGCGCAGCCGGAGAGGAGAAGCCGGCCCCGGTGGTCCGTTCCCAGCCTCAGGATGGAAAGCGCCGGGGCCCGTTGTTCCTCTGGAGGAAGCTGCGAACCTGACGTTGTCTGTGAAAAGCGCTTGTTTAAAGCCAAACTGCCCGAGCCCCTTGTTCAGCTGGCGTGCAGTCACCACCACTGTGCTTTCCCTGTGAATGGCAATGAGTTATGCATCTGGAACACAGCCACCGCTCAGGTAAAGCCACAATATATCCCTGCATAGTTTTCTACTTTAAACTAAGGCTTGTAAGGGAGATATACATAAAATATCTGAGGGTAATGTAGAAGGGTCAGGCTTCACTTTAATGCTGGAAAGATATCAGCACTTGTTGTGAGCTTTATTATTGTGATAAGAGTAATATAAGCTGTTGTGGTGGGTTGACGTGGCTGGCAGCTAAACCATCACACAGTGTCCTGATCACTCCTTCCCAGTGGAGTGGAGAGAGAGCATGGGATGGGCAAAAACGAGGAAAAAGTCTCAGGTTGAGTTAAAGATAGTTTAATGAGTGAAGGGAAGACAAAGAAAGAAGCCATACGAAGGCAGTCATTTACCACCCCCTATAAGCACACCAATCCCAGTACAGGCTTCAAGGAAAAGCCAGCTTAGAAGACAATCCCCCAGGCCCTCAACACCTTCTTCATGCAGTACCCCAGTTTTGTTGCTGAGCACATCATAGGGTAGGGAATATGCCTTTGCTGGTTCAGAAGAGTTGTCCTGGCTGTGTCCCCTTACAGCTTCTTGTGCATCTTCAACCTATTATTGAGATGGGGAAATTGAGAAAAAGTGGTGAGAAAGAGAAGGCCTTCATGCTGTGCAAGCAGTGTTTGGCAACAGCCAAAACACTGCTGTATTATCATCACTGTTTTTGTCACAAAATCCAAATCACTGTGCTGCTATGCAAAAAGTTATTTCCATCCCAGACAAGCCCAGTATAGCTACATTGTAGTTGATTAAGTGATTTTGAAACAATAAATAAAAACTAGTTAGTGTTTTGTTGACTGCATGTCATCCATTTGTAGTTTTGTATTGTTCATAACCTTTGTTTGAAGTGATTAATTTAACTCTTCTTTATCTACATTTGTCAGTCATTATTTTTGTCAGGGCATCATTACTCGATTTCTGCGTTGTCATTCGGAAGTAACATCAGTCCACCTCTTGTCTGCTCTGCCTCTCATGAACGTGTGATAGTGTGGAATCTTGATGAATGTACACAGAAGGTGCAAGAAGGTAGTGTGTTATTTATATAATATATATCCTTAGGAGTGGCTGAAGAATCACAGTTGGAAGGAACCCACAAGGATCATTGAGTCCAAGTCTTAAGTGAAAGGCCTGTCTAGGGATCAAACCCACAACTTTGAGGTTATCAACACCACACTCTAACCAACTGAGCTAATCTCAGGGTCTCTATATAACATATATATAAAAGGAAGTGATACAAAGGGAATCATTCACCACCAATCACTCAGACCAATACCCAGCCAGATTGAGCAGTGGCCACCTCGAAGACCATCCCCAACATCTGCTTTTCTCCCGCTGTTCCTTATGTAACAAGATTGTTATTTCTGAGAAGCACACCTCAACCACTCAGATTCAGCATCCCTAACAGCGATATCGGTGCTTTATTTCTCTGTTTCCCTTCTTCCTCGGCGACACCGTGCTGGGCCGGGGGCCGGGGGCTGCAGGCGGGAGGCGGCGGCGGCGGCCCCGCCGGGGCAGCCCCGGGAGCTGACCAAGGTGCTGTGCGGGAACAAGCGCCTGCCATCAACCTCGGGGGAAACGCAGGGAAGCACTGCAAAGACAGTGACGTTCTGCCGCTGTGGAACAAAATGGACAGAAAAAAAATAATCATAGCAGCACTGCATAATTAAACATGCAATGCCAAAATAACTAAATTCTACCTTGTCTGGAACATCTGTGGAACTAGTGTTTCGCATCCCGCCTTTTCTGGTCCTGCCTCTCCTGTCTCTGGAACACCGTTGTCACGTGTGTGTGAGCAATGCAAGTATCTGATTTGTGAGGGAAGTGTGTCAGTGAAAGAGAGTTATGGTGACATAACACACAGAAAGCAGGAGTTTTAGTATCCTGACCACCATATAGGTTTGGAGCCTCAACCAATGAAGTTAGATTCTAGGGAGCAGTTCTAACCCCTCTTCAAGCTTAAATAGATTGGAAAGTAGAGAAATAATGAAAGAGGAGAAAAAAAGTATCAAGACGTATTTTTCAAAGCCCTGTCTTGCTGTGCTTCAGTCAGGATTTCTTATGTCCAAAATTAATGTGGCTCTGCTGGGTTCCATGGGCACATCACCCTACTCCAAAAATCCTGTCTGTGGCAATCTTCAATGGAAGCATAACTTGATGGGAATTTTTAATATCTCAAAGAGTACCAGATCATGTCTAGGCCACAAGGCAGATGGAGGAATTCTGATGGTGCATAGTTCTGTGCTTTTCAATAGCCTGGTGTAATGAAACAGTGTGTTGTTCTGTACATCTTCCTGACAGAAACTGGGACAGCTTCTATAGTTAGATAACTACTATGCGAAGTTTCTAAAAATCTCACTGCAACAGAGTTTTATATTTCATTGAGTATCATTAACAATACAATTGCTGCAGGGTTTACACCTCATGGAATTGTTATAAGAACTCTTTTGGGAATGGTGCTTCATGTAAGATTTAGCCCAGATGATCAACAAGTGGCAGTATGTGCTGGAAATCGGATCTACATGTTAAGTGCAAAGGTGAGATACCATTCTCTGTAGCCATGGTGCTGGTATTTCATTAACTGATTCACTTTCAAATAAAATCATGATACAGAAATGTTAGTATAATTAAGCAAAAGTGTTCATTTTCTCTCATAAAATAAGTGTGAACAGATGTTTGATAATGCAACACATACCAAATAGAAAACTAGATTAAAAAAGCTGAAGTGAAAGAATATCTCAATAACTTAGAAGAAGAAAACATTCTTAGGTCATCTGAAAAATTATTCCTATATCATTCATTCTGAAGAACCAAATGTAATCTGTAGTGGCTTTGTCAGCAGGACGATATACAGGGCTGCAGTTTCCATGAAAAAAATCTTATTGAGTTATACTTTGAAAACAAATCTGACAATGTTTAGCAACAGTTATTATTAAAATATTTACTTAATAGTCAATTTTAGTTTGAAACCTAATGTGTTTTTGGTTTTGACTGACTAATCACAGAATGAAGCTATACTAGCTAAGTTGGATGGCCACCTGGCTCCAGTGACTGCTGCTGAGTTTTGCACATGGGAGAAAAGCATGCTCATATCAGTGTCAGAAGACAGAACCTTTAAGGCAAGGAAATTGCATAGATAAACTTAAAAAAGAATAATTTAGTGAATATGTGAAGTAATTTTGTTCCCCTTGAAATATTATGTGAGGATAAAGCAAAAAACATCTTTGATTTTATAGAGAGAAGGACATGGTTCTTAGAGATGCTAAGAATTTTTGTAAAAATTATTGTAAAAATTAATTTCTCTTTTTTAAAAGAACAATGCAGATTTTGTATATTCAAAACTTTCCACGTGAATTGTTAACTTTGGTGATTATTATCATCTAGCACATAGGAAGAAAATAAAATATTTTGATTAGTTTCACTGTAGCTGAAGTGTTTTAGGTATGCTAAACTGAATTAAAACATTTCACTTTGAGTCTGCTGACATTGATTTGAATTTTCCCTTTTGGGAATATCGGCTTGGGTTATTGTATGCAATGGCTGGGTTATTGCATATTGGTAGGATTTTTTACAGACAACATTTTATATGATGACACCATGGATTGCTGCTGCTGTGCGTGATGACAATTGTAAGACAACTTAGACAGTAAGAGGAAACAAAAAGCCTGAGTGAACCCAGATGTATTTTCTAGGAGATATTGGGATAGGTACCTTGATTGCATACACTTTAATCTACTACTGATTGTCCTCAATATGACTCTAAATGTAGCCCAAAATTTTTTCTACAAGCTAAAATAAATATCAAAGGTTGTGGGTCCCTCCCCTCTCTCCCCTCCCTTCTCCCCTTCCTTTCCTCTTTTTTAATTTTCTGGTGCATTAATGTATGAATTTTCATTAATTTAGTTAAAATCACTAAGATATCAAACTAAGCAAAGATGATAACAAGTACTTCTAATTACTTCATGTAATCATATTATGTAAGTTTCACCTTTTACACCATGGATGCTTATCAATTAAACAAAGCCCTTTGTATTTGGAAACAAGTGCTGAAAAAAATCCGTATCTAAGGACATCACTTTCAATGGCTGCATTTCTCTGTTTTCACCACGTGATGGCCGTTAAAGGTTGTGTTTCCTTAGAGACCTTAGTAGATACCTATCTACGTCTTTTTTTTATTCAAAGGTGTGGGACTATTCTACCGGCCAATTAATATATCAGTCGGGAATAATAACAGGTAAGTTTTCTATTTTTATATGTATTTTTTCATAGTCTATCATTATTGTAGAAGTTTTTAGTTGATTTAGTAAAAATAATTCTAGAAGACTATGGAGCAGTAAACATATTATCCTTTAAAGCCAATAGTAACTGTATGTTCCTTTAAAGTGGACTTCCTGGTGGATAGTTTTAGTGTACTTTTATAAACAACTCTTTTTGTACAGGATGTGTATGTAACGTGCCACTTACTGAGATACACAAATGGAGCTCTCTTGTTTTATAGGCAGAATTCCACTATCTGAGTACTGTGTGCTTTCTTTCCTTCAAGTTTTGTGCATGACATAAAAAGAAATACTACACCATTTGTAGGTTTATTAACAGTGTCTGCAGTTGATGGTATATATTGACTTTAAAGATGAAAGCTTGTTTTTTGGAAAGACGAGCAAAAGGAGAGAAGAGGAGGAGGGCAAGCATTGTCTTCGGTGTAGCAGGGACCCCTCCTTCAAAGCACTTTTCCTACAGGAACCGTACAGGTTTCAACAGGACCTACTCAGAACTTCCCTTTGGTTGTTCCTGCTTGTGGTGCTGTTAGTGGTGACTGGAGCACACTCTGGGGGTGTGAGTTGCATGGAGCTGGTTGTTAAGCTTTGTACATAACGTTTTGTTGAAGGACCTCATATAAACTAAAAGCTAAAAACACACATTAGGAAAGGAGAGGGAGAAGCAATGAATCCCCCCATTTGCCTGTGGCAATTGTTTAGCTTGAAAACCTGCCATGAGCACAATGTCAGTGTTTGCAGGTGCAAGACCATGAAACCAACTGCATGGTTGAAACAAGGGAAAGCTTCTGACCACAGGGGTTCTGAAAACCATGCCACAGCAGCTTGGGTAAAAGGCAGTTTGCAAACCCGCAAGTGAAAAGCCCTTAGCAGCCCAAAGACTAAGGCACACAAATCACTGTGCAACTGTAAGAAGTGCAGTAAGGTTTTTTCCCCTATTTTTATGAATAGGAGGTATTAAATTTTGAATCATGTGTTTTAATTAAATGTATTTCAATCAAATACTTTTTTTTTCCAAGCAGCGTTTCCTTTGCTAAGTCTGCTAATTGATGAAGAAAACAAACAACTTGTCACTGGATGTGCTGAGGGACAGGTAAAAATTGCCCATTAAACTTAGTCTCTATGTCAAAACAGTCAACTATTATTAATGTTTCTGTCTATAAAAAAGCTTCACAAACGGCATACAAGTTTTGAAGTGTTGCAGTGGTTATTTTAGCAATCATAATTCAATTCTTTGACCATAAACCATATATAGTATATAAGACTTCTATTACAAAACAAACTTTTTCCCAAAAACCAGGAAAGTTTTTAGGAGCACAATCAGTGATTATGTAAGAAGAGTATGCTGAGAGGCTATAAATATACCCGTTTTAAAAGAAAAAAATGTGAAAAATAGGACTATGATTTCAGCATGTTGGAATTCTAATACAAATGTAATAACTGTGAAGATGCATTTCACCTCTTTAATGTTAGTTATATATTTTTATGAGATTTTTCAGCTGTTTTCCTTCATGATTACTGTTCAGTGAATTCTTAAGAAAATTAAAGATTTAACTACACCTTTGTCTTAAAAGAGAAAGGTATAAATGAAATTCACCTACATGACCCAGTGAACAATAACATGCACGTTACCTGTGATTTTTAATTGTGGGAAACAGTCTATGAGGAGTTTTTTTCAAACACATAAACATGTGGGAATTTGATGTGCTGTTCAAAGAAGTTCATTAGTTACATCAAAAGTTTTAAATACTGGATCTTTAGTTTGTATTAATGTAAGCTTTATATTTAGTGTCAAAGGGTTATTGCAATTGCTTTTTCTTTTTCTTGCAGCTTTGGATCTTCAGTTTAATCAGTGATCATAATTATCGTTGTGTAACACATATCAACTTAAAGAAAGAGCAAGAGAAATTCTGTAATAAAGTGTGGAAATCTGGAAAAGAAATAGGTAGCACAGTGCTTCTAGAATGCTCTATAGTTGTTAGTGGCTACTGAGTGTGTGCTTTTTACACCCCGTAAGATTTTAATGTAAGTGATAGAATTATGAGTCTCAGACTATGGCATGGAATTCTTACTGAAGCTGATATGTAGTTGGGTATTGGCCTATCTGGAAAGAATTACACATGTATGTCTGTAATAAAATCTTGGCCAATGCATTTGCTTATAAAATGTTACATGATGTGCACTAGTAAGTAATTTGTTTTTTACTGAACTCGTTACCCAAGACTACAGTGAGAACAGAACCAATGCCTCAGAATTAATCCCTTGTCTAAATGGAACAACATTTCTCAGTTACCTTTGAAGTTTCTAGGAATCTCCTTATTTTTTTATTTTTTTTTTTTTTATTATTTATTTTTTCTTTATCCATAGCAGTCCCTCCATGATATCATTTTTCTCTGGCTATGGTATTTCTAGTGGTATAACACAGAGTACTTCTGAGTCTTTAAAGGCTGCACTGGTAGCCTCAGCAGGGTGACTCCCTGATATCAAACTGATTTGATAGTTCTCTTGTTCTGCCTCAGGTCACCATGAGCAGGTAACATCATTGGTACCAGGAGAGGTAACTGTCTTCCCAGGGGCAGTGCCAGTGCAGACACCCATCCCCTCAGCATTGCTGTGGCTGTGTCTGCATTCCCTTATCCAGTTCTGATTCTTCCTCAGAATTCTGGAAGTCCTTTAGGGCTACCTGCCCTGGCCACTGTGAGCAGTGCAACTGCAGTAGCAACAGGCGTGCTGAGCACCTGATTGTCCTGCGATGGGCATGTTTGCCGTGTGGTTGCCGCATGGTGGGCGTGTGAATGGTGCGTGATCGTGGTGTGCCACCCACCTGCTCGGCCTGCCTGCCACAGAGTGCCCAGAGGTTGGGCGCACCAGGGAGAGGGTTACCTCTCGTGGTACCTGACTCCAAGGCAAAACAAGAGAACTGTTGGAACATTTTACACCTCTTAGGGATGTGGTCCCTTGAGGATTCTCGGATCCTCCTTGGATCCCTGAGGATCAGGCATTCAGACTACTTGCACACCTGCTGAAGTGGGTTGAGGTCCTTCTAAAGGCAAGCAAGACAGAGCTTTCTTAGGGAAAGGGACATCTGCTTTCCCTTGCTTACTCTTTTTCTGAATCAATGACTGCTGTATTCTTACTTGCCTAGTGGTCCAGCTTCCATAATTCTAAGCTCCTAACCTAAGGAGGAAGACTGCTACATTTCTTGTTATTGTTTAAAATATATGGATGTCACTGTTATGTTTGAAAGACAGTGATGTAATATTTGTGCCTAATGCTGAATTTAATGCTAGTAGTTCTTAGTGGTGAATGCACATTCATGATGGGTTGGAGACTCCTTGGGAAGATGAAACTGAAGTGGATTTTCACCTTGTTTTTGGATTGCATTGTAATTTTAGTGTCAAGGGAATTTTCAGGCTAAGTGGATCCCCAGCATAATTAAGGATATATGGCTTTCGGTGTCACTTTTTTGAGATGAAAACACCTACATTCTGCAAAATCCTTTTCAGTCCATAAGTAGGCTCTTTGGATTTTATCTCTAGGTATTTGAAATAAGACATTTGAAGAAAGCACATTAAGAATCAGGAAAGCAATTTCAAGAGGGCTAGGATGTATCCATCTTCTGAAATAGAAGTTTCTTGAGTGTGGTCTTAGTTCATGCTCCTTCACTACTTCCAATTCTCTCTTAAATCCTATCTGTTTCCCTTATTTTATTGTCTTTTGATAGCTAGTATTGTTGATTGTCTTTCTTAGGTGAAGGGCAAAATGATTCCAAGGTTTGCAAAACAGACAACACGAGACCAGAAGGATCAGTGGAAACATCATTGCCTGTTCTCTTAATTGAACATTGTGACTTTTCAGTATGTTTCCATAATGAAGAAAAGATGTAAGTCCTTTAAAATACCACCTAGTATTTGTCTTGAATTTATTCCTAGGAGTTCCTATTGGTTCTTGGATTGTTTTTACTGCAACTTAATATTTTTTAGAAAATGCAGTAGGAAAACGATATTTTTAGTGATCTGCAAGTTTTGATGGCCTACTCTTAGGAAGATAATATACACAAACTTAAAACTGGTTGTTATTCTGAAAAATAATTTTATAAAAATGTCATTGGGAATATCCATTTTAACATCTATTGATACCAGTTGATCAGGGAAGATGAATTAAAAAGTAATTAAGAAACCAAATTTATTCTGAGTTTGCTTTCCTGAAGAAATAAATCTTATGCTGCCACTGCATAGTTTGCATTCCAAATTTAATAACTTTTGAACTACATAAACCTGCTCCAGTCAAACTTCTGTACTAGAGACAGAGATTTCAGAACATGATGTTTTTACTCCTTCCATGAATTAATTCTTATGTTACATTTCTTTCCTGAAGAGAAATTTATCCATATTATCAGGCACCCAGGGATCTGTTCAGGACACTGCCACAAGAAGTGTCTTATAGAACAACTTGGGTTTTTTTTGTTATTTGTAATTGTCATTTGGATAAATTTCTCAGCCATATCATGTTTTAGGAAACTCTTGTCCTGACCTTTGCCCTATGGTGGGTTTTACAGATGTAACTGATTAAACTCTGGTTAGATATATAAACAACTTCTGGTAAACAAAGAAGAAAAATATCCAGAAGTCCTGGATAATTTTGGTTGTCTTTATGTCCAAATTAAGTAATTATTAACAATTATTTTCATAATGCTTGCATTTTCAGAAATACTACCACTGAGAGGAAGGAAGTGGTGATTTTTAAGATGCACATCTCAGACATACTTTAATGTAATGCTAACACTTTAAGGCCATATGATGAATTATTACAGTCAGTCTTATTGCTTGTATAATATCACTCTCAAATTATCAAAATTTTGTCTGCATAAAACCCATAGGTTTTATTTGAGCTACAGCACATCTTTAAAGATTACTAGTTTTCTGGTGATAAAGAATCCACCATGTCCCTAGTTAAGTTGTTCCAGGAACTGACTAATTCCATTTTATTTCTAATCTGAGTTACCCTCTTTTTGTGTACCGTTATTACCTTTAAGTATATTTTTTAATCTTATAGTCCAGGGTCCGCCACTATCAAGTTCCCTCCTTGGACAGCAAATTCTAGCTCATGAACAAATTACCTCTGCACTTCTGGATGAAATAGTTTGTACATTGTATAAGGCATGTTTTGTGTAACATTTTTAACATTTTAACATTTCTTTTTCAATCTCCTTTTGAAACATGGTTGCCTGAAATGAATCCACAGTAACAGGTTATTTGAAACAATTTTCTGAATTGAAATAACATCACTTTCCAATACCCACCTGTTACTGCCTCACATTGCACATCTAAGAATTATTTGTTCTTTTAGCTCTCACATCACAGTTGAAGGTTTTGTTCTGCTTATAAACTGTCTATTCAGGTCTTCTTAAACTATTTGACTGTATGTGTTTGGAGGGGGTTTTTTCTTTGTTTCTTTTATTTTGTTTTTAATTAAAAAAGGTATTAAGCCACTGTGGTGAGTATTTTCATGCCAAGTTTCAGTTTTATACTTTTTCATTCCCTTATTTTAACTCTTGTGGTCTGACTTTACAAATAAAACTAATACGTCTACTCACTCCTATCTGGAAAATTTATTAAGATATTGATGTCAATTTTTATATATTCTGGCATCAAAACATTTTTAGTTCTTTGAAAATGACAACTGTTATTTTGTTACAATCATCTTATGCTTGATAACATTTTTCTTCTGTGAGGGTGTTGACTGAAATTGTAACCAGTTGATTTACTCTGTGGTGATTCCAAAAGCTGGATTTCATTACCTAACTGCAGTACTGCTGCCACTAAGCACAGACTGAGACAGACATTCCAGGCTTGGCTGGGTTTTTTTTTCCTCTTAGTTTGTGCTGACTTTTCTCTTATACTTTAATTATGTACAAACATACCTTGAATTTCACTGGTTTTTGAGTGTTCATGTGGAAGTGGTAAAAGTAAGACTATATGTGGACTTGCCTCGTTGTTTGAATTTACTCTTTGTGTATACAGTGCTTTTACAACATCTCCCAGCTCTTACAAACCACAGTAATTTTTGAAGAAAAGTATTTCCTCTGTTGTTTTAGACTTGCCATAAGCACTTATGTAAAATCAAGGGTTGAGTTCTGTTCTTGGTTTTCAAAACTTCACCAATTTTGTTTGAAAGTTTTTACTTTGAGCTATAGATTTAAAAAAATATGCTGTAAATGAAAAATCTTTATTTTAATGGGGTTTATTATTGTTGTCCTGGGACTGGGTAACAAGTATTAAAAACGCTATTTGCTGTGTGTTGTGTGGTAATAAAAAAAGCTTCTCTATGCTACTCAGAGATATTTTTCTCCTTTTTTTAATAGGTATTCTGCCCTTAATACTAGCTATTTTTGGATAGGAACCTCTACTGGCTTGTTAATAATTAATTTGGCAAACTTTGAATTAGAAGCTTTTTTGTCTTACAAAGGTATGTTCTGTGAGATATTTGACTACACTATAATGTGATTGCTTTTATTATCTGACATAAATAGTACAAGAATTAGTTTGTGAAATAGCAGAATACAATTAAAACTGTTTCTTTAAAAATAGCTTTCTTCCAGTTAATTTTTATATGGTTTCCTGGACCTGATTTTCTCAGAAGACATGTTGGCACTAGATTTGTGTAGTGGCTGGCAATTAATTTTTATTCAATTTTGCAGTTCATGAGTGTTAAATACAAGGAATGTTATTCTACTCCTACTTAATAATGTGAGGGTAGGCTAGAAGGATATATTCTGAAGACAGTGGATTAGGTTCATGTCAAATTAGTATGAGTAATTTTTTTTTCTGTCTTGGGGATGTTAGGTTTTTCTTATGAAATGCAAATACAATTTTATAGCTCTGTGTTCTCTTTGGTAAAGATTACAGTGACCTCAGCATTCGGTTTGCCAGATCATGTGCACTGACAAAGAAGACAGTTAATGGAAAGGTGAGTATACAGCAAGCATTGATTTAATGAATGTTTACACTTCCAGTATTTCCAATAGCTAGTAATTATATGTTTTTTTTAGAGATTAATATGCGCATTTGTTTTACTTGGTGTGAATTACACAGTAATTTCTTTGGAGAGGACTGGTTCTACTGTATGAGATGTATTAGTTTTAATAGCTGGATAGTTTTAAAGCTCTCACAGCTTGTATATAGTCTGTAGGGATTAATAAGGAGAAGGTGAATTTTTATAGTGTTCGGTGTGTATCTTGAATGTTAAGAATGACCACTGGGGAAGGAGAGGCAATCTTTTAGGGGAAGAAAGATATAAGCATTGTTGTTGTTTCTCAAACAAATGTTAGGATGAACTACTTTTGAATCCTTCCAAGAAGTCTGTCAAAACTATTTGAGTTGTGGAAAGTCATTAAAAGTGATTTAAGGAACTGGAAGGCATTCTGGTCTGTATACTCCATTTCTGATGTTGCAGGTTTCCTACAGAACGGAGTTTAATCTAGGCCTTTCTGTATACTTAACAAAGCAGTGTCTTGCTTTAGAGAAGAATTTTGTTTTAAATTCAGCTCTTAGAATGTTTCGTTCATGTTGCTGAAACCAGTCTTTCTTCCATGTGTACTTCTTGTCTCACAACTGTTATTGCAGAAATAGGTCCAGTGTAGAAGCTGTTGGAATTCCTCTCTCTGTTATGTATGCAAGACTGTTAAGACACTTACTTAAGCAACATAAGCATAGTTTTGAAGGACAGTATTAACCACTCTTTGCTGCTTAATGCTCTTCAGGACCAATCCATGGATATTTTTGACTAATTTTCATAAATGACAGAAAGTGATTTTGTATTATAAATGCTTTGTTGTTGGAGCTTGTAAACAGAGTATTATTTTATGGTATAATTGCTGCAGGTTTTGTGCTTGATCACCTCCATGTTTGAAGATACGATTGCTGTGTTGGAAGTTAACCTTGCTACATTGGTGAGAACTCAGAACAATGTTTTTCTCCCATGTGGAAATGAGAACAGTCTATCAGTTATTGCCAGGTACAGAATAATTCAATGTTTTTTTTTCTCTGTGTTGGATTGGGCATTTGTTTATCTGGCAAATAAGGTGCATCACATGGTATTGTACAGTGCTATTTGTTGATATGGTTTTATTTTACTTCTTTTCCTGTCATGCTTTAGTTGTATAGAGTGTGAGAAATCACAGAATCACAGAATGGTTCAGTTTGGAAGGCAGTTTGGAAGGCACCTCTGCAGGTCACCTTGTCCAACTACCTTGTTCAAACAGATCCACTTGGAGTCCGTTGGCCAGCACCACATCTGTGGTGGTTTCACCCCAAAAATCCAATTTCCAAGCTTTCCCACAATTTGTTTGGGAGTAGAGAAGTTTTCAGACAGACACAATTCAGCATGGGGGAAGGGAATTATATTAAAATTATTAACAGAATAAATATAATACATATATATATATATATAATCTTAAGTATGAAAACTATAACTAAAGAAACTTAAACTAAAGAATAAATAGATACACAGCATTAACACAATTTCTACCACCCCTAGACGCTCCCACATCAGTTCAGGAGAAGTTTTCAGGGCGATAGTTAAAGTCTCTCTTTCTCAAATGGAGTTTTGGGGGTTGGGCTGCACCCCCACCAACTGCTCGGCCTCCGTCGAGCAGCTTCTCTTGGGTTTCGAGGGAACTCTAGTCTCACCAGGTCTTTGCCACAGTCAAGGAATTAAAGTTTCTGAGACTTTTTTCCTATCCCGCGGGCTTCCTCCTGGGGGGGGTAAGGTTCAAGGACTCCTCCACGCTGGATCTATTCTCCCCACCAAGGTCGCAGGATTTTTCTCTGTTTTGCTCAGTCTTTTATATACCCCGAAATTTCATTAGAGTCTCTTCTCAGAAAAACCTGCTCTGTTGGCTCTATGCCACATTCTAGGCCTGCTCTGCTCTATTCCGTGCGTTGCTGTCACCACTTCTTCACAAGGCCTTACTCAGGGCCAGGGTTGGACGGCCCCGGGCCATCACCGCCGCACCGGCGTCACGGCTGCCGCTCCAGCCTGTCCCGGGCTACTCCGTGGCTGCCGCAGGGCTCTGCCAGCTCCTCACCACCGCTTCCCCCCCGCGGTGGGGGAAGGCGGTGAGGCCGGCTGGGAAACTCCTGGGGAGTTCCTCTCACTCCAGTGCCGTGCCTGGCCACCGGGGCTGGCCGCTCGGGGCTGTGCCGCCGCCCCCGCTGGCAGTGTGGGGGGAAAACGGAGAAAAACTCCCGCAGCCCTGGCTGGACCAGGGCAGCGGGGGCCCAGGGGCTCCCCCAAACTCGAGGGGGACTCCCCTCGGCACTTATATGGCTGCCCGATTTTCCAGCTACGCCAACAGCTTCCCTTCCCAGTTGTTGTGCTATGTTAATTTCACAGGGGCGAAACACAGCTCTCCAGTGGTCCTACGTCAGAAACTTACTTGGGATTAACCATGTCCAGCCCCAGGGGGTGGGGCCAGGTGGGTGAAACCACCACAACTTCCAAACAACTTTTGGATATCTCCAAGGGAGGAGGCATCATAGGCTCTCCGGGCAGCCTGTGCCAGTGCTCAGTAATCCTCACAGTACAAAAGTATTTCCTGGTGTTCAGACAGACTCTCCTGTGTTTCATTTTTTGTGCATTGCCTCTTGTCTTGTCAGTGGGTGCTGGACTCTGCTTTACAGCATATACTGCTGCATAGGGTTGTTCCTTCTCTGGTTGTTCCTTCTTCTTTGCATTTCACCTTGATGAACTTCACAAGGTTGCTGTCAGCCCGTCTTCTCCAGACAGTAAATGTCTCTCTGGATGGCAGCACAATTTTCTGCTCTTAAAGGCACTCCTCTCAGTTTTGTGTCATCAGAAAACGTGGTGAGGGTACACTCTGCTCCTTCATCCAGATTATTAATTCAGATGTTGAATGGAATTGGGCCCAATATTGACCCCTGATGTACTCTGCTAGTTATCTGGTTTTCAGTCCACCTCAGTGTGGGCTCACCCAGCCCATACTTCATCAGCTTCTCTATGAGAATCTTATGGGGAACAGTGTGAAAAGCCTTACTGAAGTCAAAGTAGACAATATCCACTGCTCTCTCCTCATCTACTGAGCCATTCATTTTATCATAGAAGTTTATCAAGTTCACCCTTGGTGAATTCCTGCTGACTACCACCTTCTTGTCCTTTAAGTCCCTGTAAATGATTTATGAGAAAATACTGACATCTTAAAGACAACAAAAAACCTGCAATATACACTGAAGTGCAGATTTCAGTGCTTATAATAAAATCAAGTCAACATGAAATAGGATCTAACATGTAAATGCAATCATCTGTGAATCCAGTCAGGGCCAAGGCTTGTCTATGCTGCTGGGTATCTTAGCTAATAACTAATCCACTATGCCTTGTTTGTTTTTATTAAAATGTCATTGCTGTTGTTGCACATATACCTGCCCACATGCAGAAAAATAGCTAAAAGGGAGTTCTGACAGCTTTTCCTAGTCTGATACTTTTGTCCATTGCATTGATCAAGTTTTGTTCTTGGTTTTATAACTTAGGTGTTCTTTATTGACAAATTCTCCATTGCTTAAAGGTTTAAAGAAAAACAGGAAAGAACCTTCTAGTAAAACATTTGGTAAGTATAAACCAATCTTGAAATTAATTAATGAAGTTATATTTTTAATAAAAGTAACTGACTTCCAACTGGCTTGTGCCTAATACAATCAATATATTTATTTCTGGTTTAAATATACATTACATTATATTTTTACTTTAGTAGGAAGAATTTTATACTGCTAACATTATTTCATATCCTACGTATGTATTCTAGTTGAAAATGGTGTTAATAAGTATTTTTCTTCTTTCAAAAGCAATTCTCTGAGAATTTGCTGTGTATTTTAAGTGTTAGAGTGTAGAATGTTTATATTTTCATAAGTCATTCTTTTTCAATATCATGCAGTGTATCTTTCTGTATAATTGTCATTTCTTTCTTAACTTTGGTTACCTGTTTTGGTAAATTTTGTTGTCCTGGATAGTCTTTTGTCAATATCTGCAAGTTTAGGAAGTTAATTTTTGTCTCAATGTCCTACTGTTTAAAGAAAGAGATCTGACTTCCAATTGCTGTTGAAGCACTGGTAGCTTTAGTTAGCAACAATAAAGCAAAGTCCAAAAAATGCTTACAAAATGTTTTCGTCATCAGCTTTTACTTAAGAAGGGTGTAAAAATGCTGGTAGATGTAGACATGTAGAAATAATCTATTTTTGGACCTGTTAGAATGTCAAAGGTTATGTTTTTAGTGGTTTATGATATTCTGAGAATGCATCTACAGTGTTTTAGCTAGAATTCCAGGCTGCTTTGGACACCCAGCACTGACACTTGTGCTACCTTTGTTGACATCTCATGATCAGATAAATGCTGTAAGGAAATCCTTTGGTCTCTTCAGGCAAGTGGCATTGGGAGCTTCTCAGGAAGGACCTTTTTCTGCCTCATTGCTACATAAAGAGAAAGGACAGTGGGAGTTGAAGGGAATCCATCCTCAGCATAGCTAAATGTATCCATGAGATCACTCCCAATGCATCTGAAGTTTTTCTCTGGGAATATCAACAGGATTTTCCCCTTTACAACATTTATTTGTTTCGTTTGTTTCTGCTGATATGAAATACTCATATTCAGTTTGGGACTGTAGGCTGCCCTTCAGGCTTCTTAGTATGGCAGTGTGCATGCAGACAAGTACCAATGACCTAAGACCCATAGAAGCACAAATACTTACATATACCCATCAGTCAGTTTGTTAATGATCTTTAGATGAGTTTTATATTCCAAATATAAGGTGTGAATACATTATAGATAGTGCATACAAAGTCTAAGCATAAAATAGGCAGCCAAAAACCACATTTGTGAATGAATGATGAAAAAAGTGATTCAGAACAATATTCTTGCTACTTCAAAGTTTAAAGAAGTTCTTAATCATTCATATTTTTGGAGAAGGGATGCTATACAATGCAACAGTTCATATATCTTTCCTTTCTCGGTAATCATTATTCTAGAGTGGTTGGTCAGAAATGTGTTTTGTAACATAAGGAGACATCCAATATTTATACTGGGCTAGCCTATCTACCTTAACTGTAAAAATATAATGTTAACCCCCCCATTTTAATGTAAATTAAATTATTATAGGAGTGAAAAGCACAGTGAAAGATAAGCCATTGGTTTTCCATAATAAAATCAAATCATCAGGATATACAGCAGCACCACGGTGAGTAGATATATTACTATTTTGCCTGTTTTATTGATGTGTGATATTTTTTCACATAATAGAGCCATGTAGTCTTATGACTGTGAAATTAATCACCTGTGAAAAACAGTTATGATGTTATCAAACAAAAGAATTGAAAAATATATTGCAAAACAGAATTTTCACAGCTTCTGGTTATTGTTCAGCTTCCTTTTGAAATCCATATTAGGCATCCTGACTCTTTCATCTGATTACTCTTGTTTCTTCAGCTTGCAGAAAGAATTGTCTGAGAACTTTATTTGAATGGATTTTGTCCTTTGGAGTGCATTATTCAACAAACAACTCACAGAAATTAAAGTGCAAACTCAGGCATTAGATCATTAGAAATCTATATTATCATCAAAGAGTACATTCTCTTACCTACTGACATTACCAGTAGACATAAATAGTAAGAAGGAAGTAGGATTGCTTTTGTTTTAAATAAGCTGTTTTTCTCATGCAATGTTTAATGTTTCATCTAGAAGAGTCTATTTTCTTTCTCATAGAAGGACTATGTTTTCTCCTAATACTAACCTGAATAAAAAAGAGGTATCAAAGTGGAAGACCAGTTGTAAATGGTAAGTAATCTAGTAACTCTGTTAGAGGAGGAACAAATTAAAATGAGGATAATTAGAGTTCTATTGAAAATATTATTTGTCTCTGTTACTTTCATTTGAATTTTTTAGTTAGGTGTATCTCTGGAACTAAAAGGCTTTGTAAATTTGATATAAAATGACTGCAGCAAGTGATTGGGATTATCAGACTATCAATTAAATTTGAGTGTTTCATATAAAAGAAAATATACATATCTATTTTCTTAGATTTGTATTGATAGAAAGAGGAACAGATGCTAAATATGGTTGGAAGTGAAGTCCCAGAATGTTCTTAAGCTGCAGTTCCAGTCAGAAAAATAGCTGAATGTGGCACAGAGAGACATAGTGATTTCAGATCATGTGCCTTGTTCACCCCTAAAATCATGTTATCTTAAGCTAATACAGGGATTTAATGGATTTAATCAAAATATACATAATGGTGCAAATTGACCATTCCAAAGTGGAATCTTCATCACTGTGGACTCAAACAACAGATTTTTTTTTTAGAGCTGGCACTTTCATGTTAATTTTTGTGGAATGTTAAATGAGGATATTGCACCCATTTTTTCTCTTTACTATTATATAGTCTTTTTGTCTATGTAGTACAAACGTAAAAGTAAAGAATGATTAATGCCATCATTTTTCTCATTTAAAAAGAGCTGTTAGAGGATTAAGAAAAACCACTTAATAGCTCAAGACTAAGTTGTTTTAATCCTTGCACACATAGGTAAGCTTTTACATGAGCACTTCAGATAATTTCTTTTTTGGTTTACACTGTTTTATGATAGGTTAACCTACTAAGTACTGTAAGTTTTGTGTGTGTGTGTTGTTTTTTGTGTGTTGTTTTTTTCTTAGTTAAATTGCCTTTTTTTTTTTTAGTTAATATTGCTTTTTGTCACAAGAAGGTAGAGTTTGCATTTTTTAAATACTTTTGTTAGATAGCTATGCAACTTAAGAAACTTGATTTTTTTACAGGTCTATGTTAATTCTTGATCTCATGAATTCATAACGGTGATTGGGGTAATTTAAGTATGACAATTTAAAATTCATTTGGCTCTTACCTTGAATTTAACATAAGTTTTCCAGGAAATATTTATATAGTGGTGTTTATAATAGTTCCCAAAGAACATTTATTTCATAACTGAAATGAAAATGTACTTCTTTCTTTCTTTTTTCCTTCTTTGAAGTAAAAATAAAGAATATCCATTGGACGGGGATCCTCCAATCAAATATGAGAAACAGATATCTGTTACTTGTAAGCCAACTCCAATTTTTTGTATTCAGTATTCTGGTAAGTACAGGGTTTGTAAAATGTGCCGTTCTGTCAGTGTGCAGAAAGAAAACCAAAATTTGTGTGGCATAGTATATAAAGACTGTGGAATCACTAGAAAAATTCCCAGAAAACTTTCTGGCAGTACCACATACTGTTTGATCATAATTTTTGTCTTGAAAAACCATTCAAGCTGTTAACATGAATGCAGAAGGATTCTATTTCTGATTTTATGTCTTTTCCTTTTGAATTTATTCTATGACTTTCCCACTACAACTTGAAAATGAGTAGTTCTTTCACTAAAGAGTTTATTTTCTGAGACATTTATTGTCATTAGGGTGTATTGTAAGTTGAGTTTCAAAAGACTCAGAATACTCATATTTCTTATATAAATATTATTCAGTTTTTCTATGTTGAAATATAAAAAAGGAATTCTTCTGGGTAATCCAAAGAAGGGCATTTTTCTTAACTGCTTTGGATAAATGACTCTTGCAATAGGGTTAAGTCAGTTCCAATGTAAATATGATTAAGCAGAAACCACTCCTTATATTAGCACTGAAGCATTTTACCAAGTATATAATTATGTCAGTGTACACCATGCAAGCCACAATAGTTTCAAAGTATTTAAAAATATATATCTTCATAAAAGGATTATTTATATCTTTATATAAGTATTTTGATGACAAGTACAACTTTCATCCTCAAGGAAAAAAGCAATTAGGTGCAATCAGTAACTTTTCTAAAATATACTCCAGCCATCTCTCTGCTCCTTAGAGAATGGGAAGAAGTTGTTATTTAAGGCTCCTGAAAGAAATTGGTTGCAGAGAGCTTATTTCTAGGAAAGTTTGTGCACTTAAAATGAAAAGTTCATTTTTAGCAAAGAAAATAATCACTACAGTTTTGATAGTACATTTTAAGTCTAAATCTTCTGTTACTGTGAGGAAGAAACATCTTTCTCTGTTTTTGTCCTTGTGTCTTGTCTCTTACCCAGACATGCATGCACACACAGGCTTAAACAACCACAGTTTAGCAAAAATAGTAAAGATTTTTTTTTTTTTTGGGTTAAAAAATTGTATTATTGTAACCTTGTAAGGAGGGGTTCTGTTACTGTTGTAGTCTGTATTGACCAGATGGTTCCTAGTTTTACAATATATTTTCGGCTACAAATTTGCAACTTTGAGTTCCACCTTGGAACAATCCCTAAAGTAGTCTTTGTAAACTGCGAGTCATAATAATTAACATTTATTAGCATCTCCAAACATAGCAGAAAGGAAATTAAATGGCAAAATTAAGTAAGACTTAAGATTTAAAAATTAAGACTTGTTGCTCTCTTAATATAAACTTTCATTCAGGATTTGAGATGATATTCCAATAAACAAGCCTCCAAGATTCTATGCAAAATTATTGTCTCTCATTCTTTATGCACAAGAATGTTTATATGTTGTTAATTCTTTGTGTGTGTCTATGGCTTACCTTATATGCATACCTGATATACTTATCAATCAACCCTTATGCTGAAAATCCATACTGTCAAAACTTTAAGAAAAGTGGGAGAAATCTGCAGAAGAGCACTGCATTTTACTCCAGAGACTTCATATCTTCAAGTTTGTGAAGAGCAATGTGTTTGTGAGGTGTTTACTGAAGACTAATTCTTTGTCAGTTGACTATAATGGTGCATATAGTTACTGGTAACAGAAAAAAGGATTCTGGTATGCCTCTTCTTAGCAAATATGTCAGCCTCATGTTTCTCACTTAAAATTCACTTTTAGTAGGTGACTCTCAGAGATTAGAAATATGGATCTCTTATCTGTTTATATTGCCATAATGTGGGGAAAAATGTGTTGTGGAATACAGTATTCGGAACCAGCTATGTGGATGGTACCTGGACACTGGATAGCAGTGCCTAAAGTTGGTGAAATCAAACATGACTTTTACTCCATCTCTCTGTAAAGATGCTCTGGAGATTTAAGAAGGGGGCACTCAGATGACACCTCCTTAAGAACACCGCTTATGGTGAACCTAGTAACATTAATTTGAATTCTGTTCTTCGTTTTCTTAATCTCTCCCTGTGCTGTCTTCTCTTGCTCCACCTTCCCTTGTTTTATCCAATTGGTTCATTTATTTGCTCTTTAATTTTTTTCAATGAAAACTTTTAAGTGAACAGGTAAATTTCACAAATCTCTGCCATTAATGTAGACCTTAGAGAGTCTATCCTTTCAATGTGTGCCTCTGCTGATTACCAATATAAATAAACAATCTAACTTCACTTGGATAGTTTTTAGGATTACCTTATGGAGGAAGTTCATCATCTATAAGAAGTAATCCAGAATGACTATTCTGCATTTTTTTTATTCTAATATATAAAAAGTGATATAACTTCAATAGGAAGATATAAAAAAGGAGACTAAGAAAATAGATTTAAATGACTGCTAACAATTTCTGCATTTAAATTTTGTAGCATACTTTTTGTGAAAAGTGAACTTCTGCCTTGTGATGAAAACCATTTAGGGAATATGTCAAGACAAGAAATCAATTGCATACAAATTCCAACCAATTCTCCAACATGAATTTGTGCTGTTCATACAAAATACGTGTTAAACATATGAAATGAATATCTGGTTTGTGTTTTGTTGTAGTGACATATGTGAGTTTTTATGAATCAAAGAAACAGCATATTAGGTCCTTGTTGCTTTCAAATGTAAATCATTAGATACTTTTCTTCATAGGGGATGGAGAGATGCTGGCTTGTGGCCTGGCTGACAAAACTGTACTGATATTCAATTCCAATCTCACCGATACATATAATGTTTTTTCAGGTAAATTTATGAATTATATTATTAAAGATATAGTGTATGATTGAGTTTGATCTAGAATGGCATATTAACTAAAAGATTCCACTTACATCACCTAGAGAAGAACAAGGGAGAGGGAGTACTGATGATTCAAGGTTTAGAATTATTTCTCTGATTGCTTAATTTTGTTTAGAATTAAACTGACTACCAGATTTTCCCATTTCTCAGCTTTTTGGGAGGTAAGTAGTAATCTGTCATTATATATATATATGTATATATATATTTTGCAATGTGCATTGTGTATGAATAGTACAATAATTAAATAGAAACAAAAAAGGCGATGTATTGCAATGATTATGCATGTGTATATTGGAGTAGTATATTGTAATTAGCCAAAAAGTTGACTGTGATGACTTGGCAAAAGATGTGTTTGGTTTGCAACTCCAACCTTCTAAAGAACAATTATTTAAAAAACGAGGGGCTATTCCTATGGAGAAATCCATATCTGCAGAAGTGTGTGCATGTGTGAACACATGCATTTTTAAACGAGTCTTAAAAACCAAATGTTTTCTAAATTTCTAAAAGAACTATCTGTTAAAGTTTTAATAACATTGAATGCTATGACTTTAAATTAGTCCTGCTGAATTAGTTTTCTGTGAAACTTCATAATGGAAGATGACTGTTTTTTACTTGCAGACCCTAACAAGTATTAAAAATAGACTATTTTAAGTTATTTTAGAAAATTATTTTTAATAAATAACTCTGAAAACTGATTTTTGAAAACTAGTTTTCTTTTTGAGTAATATTCATTGTATTTAGTGAAAGAAACTGTGGCATTAAGGAGGCAATATTGCTGATATTCTCCTTCTTGTGTGAAGAAATTTATGATAATATGATTTATGGGCAGAGTAATGAGGTCTTTTTCTTCAACAATAGCAAGTTCATAAACTTTGAAAAAAATTTTTCTTCTAATTTGAGCAAATTCGTAATGCAAGTTATATAATCTGCAATCAAGAGTAGTGTTTGGAGGTTTTATTGACATAATTTTGTTATGTAGGTAGTACTACATAACAAAAGCAACAAAACAGAAGGAGTAATTTTGTCCAAAGAGACCACCATATATCTGGAATATATTTAACAGATCAGGATTTCTAAAAAATGCAATTAACCCAAACAGATCACAATTCTGTATTTCCTTCCCTTATTTGTTACATGCATCTTTAAAAATAATGATACAGTATTGCTACAGTTGCAAAATTATTCCATAGGGCTCTAAATTTTCCTTGTGCAGTATGTCTTCTGTTTCTGTTCTTTGCAGTTTGTCTTTGCATCACAGATCCAGCTTCTGTCTATGTGAAATGCTACCAAGGCTGGTTTTACTTGAATGTGTATAGAGATTATGTGCTGCAGAAAGTGACATTTCAGTTCCATTAAAAACTCTTTCTTCTCGATATTTTTGTCACTGGAGATTGTTTTTATGCAGGTTTCATTGATTTTGGACTCGTAATAGCTCAGTTTTACCTTTGTTGCATATCCAGGAAAGATACTAATTTAATTGATTTCATTGATTTCATCGCATGAACACCTCCATATACTTGCTACATAATAAATAATATCTAAGGAATAATTCAATACTGGCAATAACAGATAACATAGACTTTAATAAGAAAAAATATTCTGAGTAGACATATTTGAAAGCAGAAAAAGAAGATTAGAATTGAGAGATTTCTACATTAAAAATACCCCTTAGTTCATGTTTCTCACTTTCATGAAGAATACAGTCGTTAGGTTTTGACACATTATTGACAGAAGGATTTGTCTTTCCATAAAATAAAATTAAATATGATGATTTTATAGGATGCTTCTGACATTCAAAACTCTCTAAAATACTGCAGTACTCTGCAAATTCAGGCCAACTTCTGATGAGAAGAGTAAAATAAGCTTCATCAAACTTCATGCTTCTACAGAGAATATTTTTCTGGTGCCAGTAGTTAAGATGTCGAGTTAGTTCTTGGTCTTGTTTTAAAAAAAAAAAAAATTGGTGTATTCCTAAATTGTTCTTCTGATTGTGGCTTTATTCTTTAGCTTTCTTAGGTTTTGCACTACTGTCTGATTTATTTCATTGTTGCCTTTAATCTCTTATGTCTTTTTTTTAATGATACAGAGTCTGAAAAGCAATGTAAACCACATTTTACTTCAGGCTCTTTAGGTAGCATAAGATTTAAACCTGTGGATCTAATTCTTTTCAAAAGCAACATAAATATGAAACTGCCAGATACTGTACTGTAGGGGAGTAGGAACCTCAAGCCATCAATTACCTGCTTATTTCATATACATAGTGCAATTCAGATTCAACTTTTGTGCAGTTCACACTATCATGAAATCACCAGTTTATTTTTGGTGCCCTTGGTTTAAAACTATCATAATATATGTTTTTTCATTAAAACCCATGATGCATTACTCTTATTAAGAGCTGCAACTGATGGTAATGTAAAACTATATTTTTCAAGAAATGGCAATTATGTTTTTTCTGGTAAAAAAAATCAATTTCAAGGCAGCATTAGCATCTGAATATAGCTGCATATTAAAAATCATATTTTTATAATGCAGCACCGGAGAGGAATGGTAAAACAACAGAATTTTTTTCTATAAGCCCATTTTATTCAACTTTGTTCCCTGAAGTGCGCAATTATGGTTTTAAGTAGTGTTGCATTCCTTTTCAGTGGTGACTCTTCAGGTGTCTGTGTCCCGTAAGTTAAGTTAATGTTGACCGACTGTGAAGAGTTACAGTCAGCATGGCCTTTTTGAAGAAGTCTTTTTACAAAACCAGCTGCTGTTTTCAATGTGCTTCAGGACTGGGGAACCCTGAATAATGCCAGTTTTGAAACTTTCTGGGCTCTTGCAAGCCAGCTGGCATCTCCTCCACTGTGCTTTGGGACCAGGGGGCCTGGAGTGCAGAGATTATAAAGCTTTTTGCGTGGCTCTTCCAATTTTCCAAATCTCAGATTTTCCTAAAATTTCTCATGTTCCTTGCCACTTTGGAAACCTGTTTTGTATATTTTGTTGTGGTGGTGTTTTTAGAAAACCAAAGCCTCTAAATAAATCTTTGTCTTGTGAATAAAACAAGTATAGTACTTATATATGTATTTATACACTACCTATGCAGTTCTCTGGTGAAAATTCTACAGGTGTTTGGTAACTGGGAATTAAAATATCTCATTTATAAGTTTTTTATAGACATATGTGATCATGGAAGATCTCAGTCGCTGAGATAAATTGAATAACCTTCCTACAGTTTAAAGCAATCTATTTTTTTAATGTAAAACTTCAGTTGATTAAGGAGAAAATGTACACAAGGGGGCAGCAGCAGAACTTTGAATGTTTTAAGGCTAGATGAAATTCATCAAACTTCATCTGACAAATTAGAATAATATGGGTCAAAATTTATTAAGTTTGATTGAAATATGTTCTTTCTTGACCTTTTTGATCAGCATCAATATAATTTTAGATCAAATTAATCATTTTAGCTTTTACATAATGTTTCTGGCTTTTGAGTTCTTTGTAAGTTTACAATCTTGTTTTTAACTATGTCACGCCAAATATAAAGTCTCTTTCTAGTAGATGCAAAATGCAAAAATGCAAAAGTTAATAACAAAAAATCTATTGACTGGACATTATAATGCTTTAAACTATAATTTTTAAACAAGCAGTTACATTTTTTAATCTAATGAGACAGTCCTGCAGCAGCTGTTGAAGTGGTGTGTTCATTATGTTTTTACAAAAACAGCTAGCTCACTAATAAAAGGCTAGCAAACAAAATAAAGAATTTCAACTATTTGTAAGGTCTTAAGGGATTTCCAGATCATGTTTAATATAAAATTTCATTATAAAATATAATACTCAGATTCTCTTTTGAGTAATACTGTATCTTTGCTTAAACTTAATTTCAAGGATCTTTCTTGAAAATGCTCTTCCAATGACTTGAAGAAATTAAAGTCAGAATTATCCTTGTCTGATTATTAATGAAAGACATTTTCCTGTGTTTTTTTGGTGGAAGAAAAATTCACACTGTTGCAGTTTTAATCCGACCATTTGAAGTCTATACTTAAAATGTATTATAATATTGTGCATAATTATATTAATACAGTTAACTCTGGACAAATGTGTGAACGCAAGAAATGAGCTTTATGGTATTTTCATTATTATTTTTATTAGGTCATGATGGTGCAGTTAACTCTGTTGGCTGGAGTCATAACAGGAAGTGGTTAGTTTCTGCGTCAGAAGACAGAACTTTAAGGGTCTGGTCAGTCTGCAATAAGGAACCTGCCTTAATTATGGTAATTAGAAACTTCCACTGGTTTGGACACAGAGGACACTGTTTTAGACTTTCATCTATTTTCATTTTAAGAGCTCTATAGAAGGAACATACAACCTAATTTTTAGAGCTACTGAGTGGTGACTCCAACTAATATCTGGGTGTTCTCCGTTAACTTAAATTAAGTTTTTCTCTTCATAATTTACAAAAAGAAAAAAAATCAGCCTTGATAGAAGAAAACTAGTGGGCTTGTCTGAAAGTTTTGGTTTTATTGTCTGCTCTGTATATTCTGTTTTCACTGGCTCAGTTCTGCTTGACTTTGTAGTCTACTCCCCAATTCAAATAGAAGTTTAGAGTATGAAGTTAGATTCTATTAGGTTCAATTGACTACAGATTCTATTAAATTTACTGCCAACTAATTTATGCAGAATGAAAACTATTTTTAGATTAATAGATGTCAAAAATAGGAAGGATCACTACAGTACATTAAACTCTTGGCCTTTGATCAGGATAACAGGGAGTCTTTGCCTTAACACCAGGAATCTCAGACAAAAAATATTTGTTGTGTTTGAATCCATTATTAATAAATTCCTTTTCATTTCAGGGTAAAGAAAACTTCGATAAGACTGTACGCTTTGCGCAGTTTTATTTTTTAGATACATTTATATTACTGTGTTGTGGAGCTGAATTTCATCTATTAAATTTCCATCTAGACACAACCAAGGATGACCTCAAACGGTGAGTACAATTTCTCTTTAACAGACAAATGAAAGTACTTGTACTGTTTGATCTGGGATTTTGTTGGTGGTGATGTGGACTGGGGGGCAAAAGTATTACAGAAGAAAAAAAATTGAACAAATTGTAGAAGCTAATTGCAAAATATCTTTGTTCTGAGTGGAAGGACAAAAAGAATTAGGGCTACAGCACTGAAGTCTTAGTTGATATTGTGAATGGCATGTCCTATCTGTTCGTGATATTAAACAGTATTGGGTTGCATCCTTAGATGGGAAAAACTGGCCTATTTCCTTGGTAGTGTTGTTGCTGAACATAAAAGCATACTGAGCACAAGCTTAAATATGTTTTTGAATAGGAGTGCTTTCCTGGATTTAGGCATGAACCTGGTAGGTGAAATTTCACTGAAATGTTAAATGGTCAGACAGAAACACGTAATATCTTTCTTCCATAACCTGATTACCTATTTTCTGTGTTGCCTGTTAATTCTTAGCTTATGGAGATATTACTAAAGCAATAAAAAGGTAACGTAAATTGCTATATGAACTTTAATCTCTAAGAGACAAGAACTTATGTAGTGTCTAGTTCAGTGTGTCCACAAAGCCTGGCTTAATTTTAATTGACTTGAATTGAACATGTATAGGACATGTAACAAATGCATTATGAATCTCAGTTTACTGTTGACTTTTTTCTTTTTATGTGAAATTCTACCTAGGCAGATAACCCACATGACCTTAAAGAGTTCTGTGTATTTTGGGAAGCAAAATTTCTTTGGTAGTGTGTGATCAGCCCCTGGTTCTGCTCCTGCCTAAGTGGAAATTATTCTTTCCTCACTGTTTGCTCCTCATTTTCTTTCTGATTGCCCTATGATTAGCACATTAAATGCTATACTGAAGCTAGTGGACTTCTTGTTGAACATAGGTACTTCATAGATTTTTTTTCTGTTCAACATTTTCAGTATACGTACGGGATTATTTTAGTCTTTCATGTTGATGGAAGATCAATCGTATGTATATGAATATCATGTTTCTTTTCATCTAAATAATTTTGGTTACCAAGTTTTTTAATAGAGTTCAACAATAAGTCAAAAGATCTGTGGCTTTAATTTTTAATAATGAAAGAAAGCGTTTTGATTTTCTTTGGGATTCCAGAGGGAGTTTACTGGTGACCACAAATCCTAACTTATTTCATTAACACTAGCATTCATTTGATATTCTTTGCAGATACAAACAGAAGAGTGTTTGCAAACTGGTACAGAAATTCCCCATGGCTTCAACAGTGGAGATTACCAGCCTTTCAGCAGTAAATGATTTTTACTCTTGTATCCTTTGTATTTTGTATTTTCTTTGTAGTTCTTTGGACTTAATGACATGGACATCAGTAAGTAGCATCTGATTATTTACTACTCTGATTATTTACAGTAAAAAGCTGTAATTTTTTGTGATGTTGAACTTCCTCCTTGGATAAAAATTTTTAGTGCTCTAAGATTTTTGGTGCTGCTCATAGGTCAATAAATAAAACAGAGTTTTGATATTATATATCTATCTTTATTTTTGTCTATCTATGTGCTTTTGTTCCTTTAGATCAGTTTAACTTTAACACAGAGACCTGAACAGATATCGTACTTACAGCTGGCAGTAACCGAGCATTGGAAGTTTTTGACCTCAATGCAGGCTGCAGCACAGCAGTGATACCAGAAGTTCATACTAGATCAGTCCATCAGATCTACCAAAATAAGGTATATACTTTATTGAATTTTATTTGTAGTACCACTACAACACCATGAACAAAAAAATTAGAGGGTAGAAATATAACAGATAGTAATAGTTTTTTATATGTTGGGGAGAGTGGGCAAGGACATGAGTCTGTGTGATAAAGGCATACAGATTTCATTTGTTCTCTAGCATAAAGGAGAGAGCAGTGAGAATGACTGAGCAAGCTTGCTATTAGAGAAGTGTTTATTACCCTTTGCCTTACTCTTGCTAGAATGTAATAATGTAGTTCAGCAAAAACTTTTCCTTATGTAACTGTTCTCCTCTAAAGTTCAATCTGACATTGTCTGATTTATTCTGAAACTTCAGAAACAGCAACAAAAAAAAAATTCTCAGTACTGCAATGGAATAGATGGCTAAAACCCTCTCATCCTTGCTCTTTTTTTTCCTTAAAGGTTGATTTGAGTGTTTGGAGTTTTTATGGTACCGTACATTCTGGAATGCCTACTGTTTTAGGTCTGGTTGAATGTGGTTCTTCTCTCCCAGTTTGAAAGTCCTTGCTTCTGTGGATTTAAAACAGTTCCTTATTATTACTGTTGTAGAACTCTTTGTGGGTTTTCCTTATAGATGCGATCTGGAAAAACACTTAAAATTGTGCTAACTATTTCAGTACTGTTTGTAACACATATAGGCTTAAGGTTCTGGCTTTTCTTCTTGCTTGGTCAGCTTAGTGCCTTCAGATTATTTAATCAAGAAAAACTTTAAGGCTGCAGGCAAATATTCACTTGGGAAAAAAACCAAGAGGTATGTGGTATAACAAAGAAAATTGATCATTTTGGGGGAAAATGGTACATCAAGGTTCTCTTTTTTTTTAAATTATATAAAATTAATACTTTAGATAAGTCAAGAGGAAAATGACACACCATTATTTTATTACATTGGATAGTTTAAAGCTATTAGAGTAAATATAACTGCATTTTCATTAAGATGATATGTTAAAATATATTATAAACTTATAAAAACATGCAGAATGCTGTGTGCAAACTACATCCTGTTTAAAGTTTGAACCCCGTTGGAATATAAGGTTAGCTAAGGATAAGAGTTGATGCCATAGAAGCAGATCTGTGGAGTGAAACAGTTGATGCTAAAGATCTAGTGCCTACACCTCAAAATTTATGAAGGCTTTCCTTTGGACTATTCCTAATTTCTTCATGTGGACTGAATACTTGTTAGTGATTGCAGTGTATATATATATATATATATATATATATATATATATATATATATATACACACATAAATACACATATATATATTCTACATTAGGGAAGGTGTGTTCCAATTAAGTGTGGGAGAAACCTATTAGCAAATTATTAAGTACATAGGATATCCTAGAAACCTGGGAGTTCAGCATGACATTCCGTTATTTTTGGTTTTGGACAGAGGCAGCTGTAAGCAAGTACATATAATATGCATTGTAATTACTTTGATTTTAAATTGTCCCTTTGATGTGTTCTAGAGATTGCGAGAATTACCAGTGTGTAAAATTCATCTCAGCCTGCAGTGAACTTGATTAAGCTTATTATATCATTCCATTGCTTTGCATACTAACTTTTAAGAGACATGGTAAAAGGAATTGATTGAAATATCAAAATCATGTTCCCGTCATAGAGTTTAGGAACATCTGAGATACAGAAACAGATGGCAATTTGAGATCAGGCCACAGAGATTCAGGGCTTTAGTGTTAATAATACATTTATAATACTGCAAAAAAATATTCTCTGGACAGGACTCTATCGTTGCAAACCACAAACGTTTGGATGGTAATTATGCTCTACTAGCACATTTATAGTAATTTTCACAGAAACAGCAAGTTTTCAGTTTTCTGCTCAGACCCTTTTATTTCAAAATTCATTGGTTCATTAATTAGGAAATGTACCTGATATGAAGTATGAAAAAATTAATAGGCAACTCAGAAATTTCAGTTAGTTAACTTCTTTCTACAATGCTATCTAAAGGTATGTGCTTGCCTGGAAGGTATGGAGTGCTTTCTGAGACATCTGTTGATTGGTGCCTTTAGCATGAGCCAGCTGCACTATTTGGATGACATGAATGGTGCTCATATGGAATTAGTGAAAGAAGTAGGGATTCTGTTGAACCCTGTCCTTGAGGCCAAATTTTATGTGTAAGTTGCCATGTAGTTAGTCTAGAGAGAAGCTGAGAAGGGATTACAGTAGTGGATAAGCAAGATGATGGGGCAGAGGCAAGTGATTTGTCTATCAGAATGAAAGAATATAGTTTCAAGAGTGTGTGGGAATATGCTACTTTTGCCAACAGATTCTCCTAAATAATAGATTATCATAAATTAAGGGACTATAAAACCACAAAGTGATAAATGAAATTCAGCTTATATATTATCCCAACTAGTACATATTTTCTTGTCTTCTATAATCGGTATTCAGTAGCATATATATTTTGAAGATACAAGTATAGCTATGTATTGGTAAAGTGTATTACTGAGAAAATGTTGTCAGGGCAGGGAAGGAACAAATGTATTACACTTCTTACCTAGTTCATTACTTAGTGTATTCTATAGTAAAGGAGCAGTGCCCAAAGTAAATGTGTATGTGTCTGTAGAAGTTTTCATATTTAGCTCTGTGATCTTTGCTGGCTGAAGCGAGGGGTGGTGAGTAAAAGTTCCAAAAGCACAAGAAGAAAGGGTGCTCTGTAACTTTTAATGAATGTTATCCTTTGGACAACTACTGTCTTTGTCTTTTGCATTACTCTTTTTTTTTATAGTTATACACAGCTAAATGTGAGAATGTGTAGACTTTGTTGGGAAGTCTGTTGCACAGTGCATTTTAATTCATCTGTTAGAGCAAGCTATACACTAGCTTCCATAACAAATAGAAGATTCCTGGCAGTCAAACAGTGATTGCAGGAAATTACCTTGAGGTTTCTGTGAGGTATTTAGCCAAATCAAGAATGTGAATGGTAAGGAAAAGAAAGAGAAAATTTTAACTGTTTATATTTAGTTCCCTGGAGAAAGATGTTTGTAGCCAGCAAAATGGCTGGGATTTGCCAACGTGGATGTTAAAAAATCATAGGTTTTAGACTGGGTTTAATTATTTTAAATGTACAAATCCAAAATTAGTCCTGTTATGAATAAATGTGGTTGATACTGAAGTCAATGGAAAGTGTGCCCACTTAGCTCACGTCTTATAGTTAATTGTTGAACTAATCTTTGATCCCTCCCTTTTCATTGCTCTTATTACCTCCCCTAAACTTCCCATAATGTCTTGTGCAATCACAAAAAGATCTTCCCCTATGTTACATCATGGATCCCATACCCTAATATTTAATAATCCCCAGATGATCCAGAGAGCCTCTCCCTTTCTTTCATTATGGTGGGTGTCACCCCTGGACCAAAGGGCTTATGGCTGTCCTGGGACAGTGCTGAGAGGAGTGGAGGCAGTGCTCCATTTCTCTGACTGGGTTATGGGACTTCCTTCACATGCCACCTTTCCTCTTCACTCCTTTGTGTATGTGCAAACAAGCTATTCTCACATAACCTAACAAGAATTTACTGTTTATTTCTTAAGTGGACTGAATTCTTCACCGAGAGCATGGTTGGTCACTGGACCAGACTCCTCAGGGAAGTGGTCCTGGCACAAAGCCTGTAAGAGTTCAAGGAGCATCTGGACGATGCTCTTAGACGTATGATGTAGTTCTGCAGGGAGCAGGGAGTTGGCTTCCATGATCCCTATAAATCTATTCCAACTCAAGATCTTCTAATAATAATGGCCAGTCTTTGCGAGCGAAGATTTGGGAAAGGTCATTAACCCTTTGAGCCTGCGCAGTGGATTTTTTAGGTGAGACACAGCGTGCGCTGAACTGAGCCCACCCTTTAATCCTGAGGTTCATCTGCCGGGGCCGAGCAAGCTTGGACAGTGGCAGTGAGGTCCTCAGAACGTAGGTTTGTTTAGAGTGACCTTCTCTTAGATGGATTGCCTTACAGGGCTGACGAGCTCCATCTGCCCGGGGGGCTGGGAATCAAACCCGGGTTGCAGCGATGAAAGTGCTGCACCCTAACAACTCGTAAAACTATCTATAAAACACCATGAGGATACTTACCTGAAACTGATTTACTATTTTACAGGGATCATCCTTCAGCACTCAGCAACCTGAAGCTTACAACCTTTTCATGACCACAGCTGCAGGTGATGGCATCAAACTGTGGGATTTAAGAACACTGAGGTAAGAATGAATTAGGTACCTTGGAATAAAAAGCCATGGTTTATCTTGTCATACTTGCTGTGATATACCAGTAGAAACCTGGATGTGGAATAAGGTCTACAGTCAGGCCTTTAAGAAAAGAATGAAAGGCTGATTGAAATTTACTAATTTTTAGAGACCAAACAGAATGCTCATTCCTCAATTATAGTTATAATATGTGGAAGCCATTAAATATTTAAAATTTATCACCCATGTTAACTTACCTTTGTAGATCTAATTGTGTGTCTATAATAGTATACTGAACTGAATGGTAATGGTATTTCCAAAACAGCATGTCATTACCTCTAAAAGAGGTAAAATTTATGATCCGTCTTTTAAAATATAAACGCAATTGTAACAATATTACTACAAATCATGCATGTAGTGCTATAAATTTGCATAACACATTATCATAAGCTCAGAATTTCTAAACACGTGGCAATGTTATACTGGGGAAAGCTGTGGGACAAAGGAATAGCACGTCAGGGAGGGAACATTGCTCATGAAAATAAATACTTGGGGCTTGTGCAGGCTAAAAGAATTATGTGTAAAAGAAGAGGGGTTTGAACAGGAGGATGTTAAAGTTCTGAAGAATAATTTCATATTTGTTTTCTGTGAATGTAAACCTATATTTATTGAAAGACGTAATATAATTTTTCTAGTACTGAATTTTCTATCTGGGCAGTGCTGAATGAGCCTTTAATTTATTTCTATCTTTCTATGGTAAGAATATGTTAAATCTGCAGGGGGCATGTATGTTCTTTCCAAGAGCATTTCTGTCTTAGTTGCACTGAATGCCAGAAAGTAATGAAACTAGAGACTGCTGGGGATTGGAATCTGTTACCTTCTTATGTTTTTCTAATAAGCTGCTCAAACTGTGTTGCTGAAGAGTAATGAAACAGTAGCAAGCTTTTCACAGATCACTTATCTATCTCTTTGTTTCTAAATACTAGTATAAGTAAGGTAGGTGAATGGTAAAATAGTTAAAGTGTAAAATCTGGGCAACCAATTAAATGAATATGTCTTGGGAAGAAGGGACTAATTTATGTATGTTATTGCTCTATATTTAATTTGGCTAAGTCAGTGTATTCTAGTGTCTGCTGTGTTCTATTAGCCAAACTTCAAAAAAGTGATTCAAGTCCTTAACAACAGATATTTTAAGAGTGCTTATTAGGTGTTATGTATATGTGTGTATTTGTTACACATTAGACAGATCAATGGTATTAACTGTTGTGGAGAAGAAATAGAGAAAATGAATCATTACTAGTAACTTTCAAGAAAAAAAAAACAAACAATTTTTTAAAATGAAATTTTCTGTCATTGCTCAGACCAGAGACCGAGTCTTCTATATTTTGAAATCTCTTCTTGAGTTCTCATGAGGGAAACTCTTCAATTTTTCCTATGTGTTCACCAGGTGTTTTTCACATAAATAAATTTAAAATGTCTGAGTTTGGAAAGCTCTATCTGAACTCGGAACAAGTCTCTGCTCAAGTGTTAGGTCTACTATAGTTACTCAGACTGAACACTTTTGCTTATTTTTTTGGTTCATAGGTCTTGTCCAATCAAATCCAGTCCATCCCTTGCACTGTTGAGTACTTACAGGAGAGATTAGTTCCTAAACAATCTTATGGTGGGTCAGCACCTTTAATCTCTTAAAGTTGTTGACTTGTAAAGTTGATGCATCAGCAACTGTGTTTTAAATGGTCCTTCTGGAATGACCTCTCTGTTTCTGCTTTGGGTTTGCCAGAATAGGGTCCCTTTAGTGAAATCTTTGTCCAGTGTTCTTGAAATATAGCAAAGGTAAGTCCACCTTCTCATTTATACTATTTGCAGTCTTGTGGATAGTAACTGCAAGATCTCACCTTTACTGTTTGTTAATTTTGTTCTACATATCTGCCCTAGACATCCACAGTGAACATTTTGCTTTTATTTAATCTGCTTCTTCCCCTTAAGGAGTCTATCCATTGTTATTTTATGTAATAATACGGTAAAGTACCAATTTCTGATTAAATAGGGGGAAGAAAAACCCTCCAGTACAGTGCTTTTCAAACTGCTGTTGAAAGCATGGGAAATAATTTGCAGATTACCTCTGCACAATGTCCCTAAGACTCTTAGGGGTTATTTTATTCAGTTTCTTTGAGTATTGTTCCTTTTTTTATTTTTATAACATGCATTCCTTTTCTCACAATTGACTGAGGAGTCGTAGCAGGATGCTCAGGTTCTTTTTTGATCTTTGCTTAGATTAAATCTTCAGACATATTAACCTGGCCTACGGCTTAATAAGTTTTGAATATATTGATATTTTTGTTCTGAATCCACAAGAATTTTTCTGTTCAGTCTCTGTTATAAACTACATTTTTTTTCCCATTGAAAATTCATTTAATTTATCTGTTCTTTTGTTCCTAAAGTTGGTGAGAGTATTTTGCAACTTCAATTTTCATCATCTTTTCTGGATAAAGCTGTGAATCTGTCTGTCTCTTTCACTATTGATAATCTGGAGGCATTCCAAAATTGCTTCAGAGAGTGCCAGAAAGTCTTATGGGTTCCTCTGAAGGTGGTACAAGAAAAGGCATTTTAACTTTCTGATGTTGCCAGCCAACCTCACACAGCCAGGTCATCTTGCCAATAAATGAGGGAATCTTGGACACTGCCAGTGGTTTTTGGATTTACTCAAACTCCTGCTTCATTTACTTTGAAATGCACGGGTTTGTAAAGTTTCATCTGAATCTTTTGAATATTTTTATACTTCTCCTGCATGTTCCTTGTTTATAACTATAGCTAAGAGAAGAAAAGCTCCAGACAATCTACAAAGCAGACTTAGGAATAAAGAAACAAGGGGAATAGGTTTTTTTGGGGAAGAAGAACCAATTATGGCTACTCTTCTTCCAGGTTAGGATAACGAACTATGAGGCCTTATGAATACATGCTTTAGGGTAAGATAATGACCTTTGACCAACTTCCAAGACATTTTGAAGAGCAATTTAAGCCTATCTTTCTAAAAGAATGGCTACTTGCAGAACAAGTAAAATTGCTTTCTCTTGTGAAAGCAGTGAACACAGGGGTTAGACTGCATGGAATCTGATTACCAGATCAGGATTCCCAAGAAAGACTCAGGCAAATATTTTATGTTTAGGAGGTACAAAAGGTTAATGCATTCTTACATTTTTTGAAGGAGTTGAAGTGTTCTTTGTGATGAAATATTGTAGACTCTTATTTCATATGACAATTTTTAATTCTGCTTTACCAATCTGGATCCATTCAATTTCTCACTTCCTCCCACTTGTAGATTAGATAATTCTGTGCATTAAATGTCCAGAAGAAAGGAAATTTCTTTCATTTGTTATGTTAGGAAGAAACTATAAATTCAAAATGTTGCCCTTTTCACTTTGTTAAATGCATTTAGAATATTGACTAAACACTTAGTAGCACCAGCTTACATTCACTAGCAAAGTTTCATGAACACCCATATCTTCATGAATGGCTGATATTGAGAAAAACAGTGAGTTCAGATTTCTGCAGCTTCCCTTGCATGATTCATTCCAAAGAATTGCTTTCCTAAAGAGAGGTTCCAGAATGTAAAGTAATGTAAACTTTTCCTCCCCAAGGTGGATTTCAGATCTTCTGTAAAGCTTTTAGGCACTGATGTGGCTCTTCCTTGCTCATCAGTAAATTATGGCTAAAGGCATAATACAGTAAAACTTCATCTTTCTTTGTGCGAGTAATTGGAGAGCAATGTCATGGAAAGGGACCTGAGTGTCCTGGTCGATGGCAAGCTGAATATGAGTCAGCAGCACTCTGGCAACCAGGAGGGCCAACCGTGTCCTGGGGTGCATCAGGCAAATCATCGCCAGCAGTTTAAGGGAGGGGATTGTCCTGCTTTGCTCTGCACTGGTGTGGCTTCACCTTGAATACTGTGGCAGTTTTGGGCACTGCAATGTAAGAAAGATATTAAGCTCTGAGAGAACATCCAAAGGAGGGCAACGAAGATGGTGAAGGGCCTTGAGGGGAAGCCGTAGGAAGAGAGGCTGAGGTCACTTGTTCTGTTCAGCCTGGAGAAGAGGAGACTGAGGGGAGACCTCATTGCAGTCTACAACTTCCTTGTGAAGGGAAGAGGAGGGGCAGACACTGATCTCTTCTCTATGGTGACCAGTGACAGGACTCAAGGGAATGACCTGAAGTTGTGTCAGGGGAGGTTAAGGTTGGATATTAGAAAAAGGTTCTTCACCCAGAGGGTGGTGGGCACTGGAACAGGTTCCCCGGGGAAGTGGTCACGGCACCAAGCCTGCCAGAGTGGAAGAAGCATTTGGACAATGCTCTCAGGCACACAGTCTGACTCTTGGGGATGGTCCTGTGCAGGGCCAGGAGTTGGATTCAATGTCCCTTCCAATTCAGAATGTTCCAAGATTCTATGTTGTCAGTGTACCTGTCTCAAGTCCTGCCTCTAGCCTTGTTTCCTGCATAGATATTGACCTACCTTGTAGGTAGTTTGCTTTGAGTTCTGTCTCCAGCAGACCCATGTAGCAGCATTGCCTCCAACCCTGTATCTGACTCCATCTCCTGCTGCTTCTGACTGGACTACCGGGAGGGACTCTGGATCTCGTTCATCATCTCACTTCTGCTGGTACTGTCAGTGTTACCAGCACACTACTTTGCCTACCCTATTCAAATACAGTGGGACAGTGCCCTGGTCAGTGATGAGACTGTGCCATGACCACCACTGGCTTCTCACTCATTTTCCCTTTGCAGAAATTTTCCCCTGTAGCAGCCCTGCTCTTGCTGTACTCTGAGAGGCATAGTCACCATTATATTTATTTTTCACACAATGTACATAGGTCTGCAAAAAGCACACAGATGAATGCTTTTATCTTGTTTCTGCTCAGAAAAAAAAAAGCTACTAAGTTGTTCCTGGTAATTATCAAACATGTGATCCATGTAGTTAATTGGAATGCAAAAGCTGCTTAATGTTCTAAGCAATACTCCTA